GATAAAAAGTGAGTTAAGAGCATTGCCAACCAAGCCATGGGACAAAGATCTAACCTAGCCTTTATTAAACTATATCTCACCTAACTTAATAATAAAGAAATAAACTAATACGTATTATTATTATGCTTAGTAATAATGTAGTTTAAATGAGCTTAACCATAACTAATCAATACCTAATCTAACCACACTTAACCTAATTGATTTTCATTAATTTCTCCCTAAATAAAAATTTGCACAAAAAATACTTACATATTGCATGATGTACATAGTTTGTATTTTCTGAAAAGTGTAAAACAATAACCAAGTTCCACCAAGTAGTTGTTGGTAACTACAGTATAGCCAGTTATTTATTAGGTGATATTAAAATAAGAATATCATTTATGTAAATTGTCTTTTAATTAAGTGTGTTGTGAACTGGAGACAGTTGTTGTATTTTCAACAAATAGGAGAGAAAATTTTAATAAGTAAATTTAATAGCATAGTCCAACCTAACCTGATCTAGTCTAACCTAGACTATCCATAAAATTTTAGCCATGCAAATTATTTTCCAAAAGGCACTAAGTAAATAAAATCCATCCATCTCATCCCATCCATCTACAGGATGGCCTTACTTATACAGCAGGTTAGGTTCTAAGCAAAAATCATTGTAAAGTGAAGCACAGCTTTTTTTCACTTTGAAATGCATATAAAATCTGATAACATGTTTTCCCTCTCATATACAGGTATTCCTCACTTAATGGCTGAGTTAGGTTCCTAAGAGTAAGTTGGTAAGCAAATTGGTCGTTAAGTGAGGAACCACCCCTTACTGATATTTTAAGAATACTCTACTGGTAGTGGCTTTGTGTCAACCATCTTTAGACATTATTTTAATGTTACCTTTGTACCATTTATAACAGTTTTAGTATGTTAGAAACAATAACAAAGTAAAATACACATACAGTATACTAATTACTTACCATAAAATATTTGTAGTCCTAATGTAGGGTGAGAGGTGAGTATTTATTGTAGAAAGAGAAAGAAGAGCAAAGAATGGAAGAAGTACAAAAGAAGCTCACTGTAAAGGGGTTAATGATGTGTATCAGTGTGATAATGGCCCTCTCTCTAATTAGTATTTTATATGTAAACCACACAATATCCTATAATATGTAAACCCTGCATTGTAATCTCTATAGAGAATAAACTTGATTTGATTTGACTGGAATGCCATAGACCATGAGCAGTCATTCCTGGTTATATTTTATTATCTGACAAACAGGGTAAATCTTTGTTTTTTTTGTGTGATAAATTAAAAATGGAGGACATGTGTAATATAAGAGGCCTGAGGATGTGGTTAATGAATAAAGGAAATGTTACTTTAGTGGCTAGTGTTTACTTTGGACTCTATAAATTGGATTCTTTTAAATTTTCTGTAAAATTGTCTAAAGTGCTACTGGCCTTTGTGTACTTATAGGGTAATTCTGATACTTGAATAGGTGTTTCTTTCTGCTCAGTTGATAGAATGGAAGGCATACTAGTGAAATAGCTATGAATTGGCTTTAAATAGGACTTGAAGTGGGCAAAATTGCCAATGCATAAATCGTGCCCACACTGCTAACTTTATGCCTGCGTAATTCCATAAATTTTCTATCAATTCAGTATTTTTGGTGTCATTACCTTCAGAACAAGATTCTTTAACATTTCAGTGAGCATTTTTAACCCTTTCAGGGTTTCTGACATACTAGTACGCCTTACACACCAGGGTTTTTGACGTACTAGTACGCCTAAATTCTAGCGCCCTCAAATCTAGTGAGAGAAAGCTGGTAGGCCTACATATGAAAGAATGGGTCTATGTGGTCAGTGTGGGCAGTATAAAAAAAATCCTGCAGCACACAGTGCGTAATGACAAAAAAAAAAATCTTTGACAATGTTTTTGGTTTAAAACAGCGACTTTGCACTGTATTTTCGTATAGTATTTATGATGGTATTCTAGTTTTCCTGGTCTCATTTTATAGAATAGAAGACATATTACAGAAATTGAGACGATTTTGATTGGTTTTACAATGAAAAGTACCTTGAAATTGAGCTCAAAAGTAGCAGAAATCTTCGATTTTTGCCAAAGTTCAAAAGTAAACAAATCATGCTACGCGTCCAATACACGTCAACTGGTAAGTCTAATATTCTTTCACAAGTGCGCTGATATTATTTATACCATTTCTACACTAATGCAATAGTCTGCATAACAGTAAATCTTCTATTTTTTGTGAGAAAAATTCAAAGTGGAAAGCAAAAAAATGTAAGAGGGGCATGGGGACGTGACTAATGAACAAAGATAATGTTACTTTAGTGCCAAGAATGTCTTTCTTGTTTATTCTGGACCCTATTTGGAAAATGGCATTTTGTGAAATTTGTGTATAATTGGAAAAATTGCAAAATTCTGACCACTTTATTGGATAGTTGAAATTGGTAAATGGGTGGTTTCTTGTATTCATTCAATAGAAAAAATGGAGTTCTAGCGAAATAGTTATGATTTTTGTCGACTAGTACACTGGAATTGGCTGAAAATAGAACTCAAAGTGGACAAAATCGCCAGTGCATAAACATCGTTGAGACCGCTAAGTTCGCAAGAGCATAATTCCGTAAGTTTTCCATCAAATTTCATACTTTTGGTGTCATTATGATCGGGAAAAGATTCTCTATCTTTTTGTAAGTTTTTTTTTTTTTTTTTTTTTTTTTTTTTGAAAATTTATCGACCCTGACAACAAGTCTCGGAGAGGTCCTGTCGACCCTGAAAGGGTTAATTTTGGGGGTCCTGATAGTGACAGGGTTAATATGCTGATATGTAAAGAAACTGGTCAGTTTGGCTGATCATTTATTTGCCTCTCTAGCCTCATAGGTTGACCAGTCTATATAAACACTTGTAATCTTTTTTTTATCGTAGCTGTATTTATGATCTGATGTGCGAATGCTGGGGAATTTCTCAAAAGAATAGGTGGTAAAAAATTATAAAATTCCAAATTCACAATACAGTAGGCTGTTATATTACACAGATTCGGTTCCCACATTTTGGTTATTGCACTATTGAAAAATTGTAGCACAATTTTATACATCACTTCATGAAATTAACTTGCACAGCTCTGTTTGCGAGCGTGAAAAAAAATTTCCTCAGCTCAAGCTACCGCCTTATTGTAGGGAAGCCCTACCGCCATCCCCCTGCCACCCCTGACACTCCCGCCACCTCCATCCCAGCCTTCATGAATATGTGTTTAGTTCCATTCTGACTTAGGAGCTAGCTGTGTTTGTGAATTGTGTTTTGATCTTTAAAATGTCATATCTTGTATCTGCCAAGGAATCGTGAAACCCAGTAGGCATACGTGTGTTGCTGAAAGTGGCAAGAAAAGGTATAAGCGTTTAAGTCATAGAGTTAATGAAGGAAATAGAGATATTAGACAAGAGATACCCTGTGACCTTAATGAAGCATCATTTTGTACATTTAAAATGAATGAGGTAAATATATGAGTTCGTGTGATGAATAACTGACTTATTTGACTGACTGACTGACTGACTGACTGACTGACTGGCTGGCTGACTGACTGGCTGACTGAGTGACTTTGATTGACTGACTTACTTGACTGACAGACTTGACTGACTGACTTGACTGACCTACTGACTTAAAGTTAGATTTTTTCACTAAAGAGCACCCTGACAAATCTAGAAGCAGTGCTTTGAAATGGTGTCTAGAGTGGCTGATGCCTTACCATTAGCTGTATAATGTACTGTAGGGTAAAATAGAACAGAAATCCATTACAGAATTTATGCACATTCCAGTACAACCATCGACTTCAGTACCAGAACCTCTTACCATCCATCTCAGCCCAGTAGGGCAACAGCATAACTTTCCACTCTCTTCACAATCATCAACAAACACCAGCACTCACAATTTAAGGTAAGAAATACTATTATTTCTGTTGCATTTGTAGTCTTAAGCAGTAAAAACAACATATTACATCATGACAGGGAACTACAATTACATATTCACTTGTATTTTTGTAAGATCTGGAGGTCTAAAAAAAAGTTGTTTGGCTTTTTTAGGGCTCCCAGGAATATAACCCTATTATCCCATAAGTTCTTCAGTTTATCTAACATGGATTTACCTAACATGGCATTTTCAGGAATGTAACTATGGTGTAATATAACAGTCTACTGTATAGATTATTACTGTATTATTATTTTTAATCTTCTCTTGGTTACATATCAATAATTTTGTAGTTCCCTTTGTATATTACGTATATAACCTTTTATTATTCCTCTACCATTCTTCTTTTTCCCCATGTGTTATATTAAGGAGTGTATGTATTTGTTTACAATTACAAATTTTCGTCTTTGTTTTGGATTTGTAATGCTACAATTTCAGTGTTACTACTTTTATTTGTTTTGTATTTTAATTATTGCACAGTAGCTTGAAGTAATTTTTTACCAAAATTACCAAGCCACCTCTTTTTTTTATCTGTTCTGTCTCTTCAACAAACTTGTTACTGTAATATCACTCAAATATCTTGTCATTTAGAATGTTCTTCACTTTGGGTTGAGTTAGGCTCTTCATGTCTGATTTCTTCTTGTATATGATGTTTCTCAATTTTAATCTTGAGATTTTCAAAGCTGTTTGCATACAAAACACTTTATGAATAAGTTTCTATCTTCTGTTTTAGTTTCCTGCATTTTGCTTTGGTAGTTAACTACTGTTTTCTTGAAATACCATTGGACTAGAGGGCACAGCTCCATTACTCTGTAGAAAAGTTGTGGACTTGGATGAAAGTTTGTTGCATATGTAATTTGTATAATACTGTACCACTGATGTATAAAGTAGATTTTACTCAGCTTGCTTGGTTATAAGAAACTACACTCACACAATTTAAGAGAAGGCATATGCCAAATATAGCATTGTTAAATTATGTACTATTTTTTGCGTACTGTTTAGAAAATGTTTGATGAATAAACATCTTAATTTGTATTTGTTTTTACAGGAGATACTATAGGAAAAATCTTGGCAATAAGCAGCTTAACACCAATAGCCATTATTGTTGGCTTTATTACCCTAATTCTCTTCAGACGAGATTTACATACAGTAAGTGGAGTTTGTGTTGCACTTTCATAGTGCACTGTGTTGTAGTCTTTAGATCTTGATCTCTTGTGTTGAGGGCTGTATCAGGTACAGTCAAGCCTCTTTAATCTGAGTGCATGCAACTGAGGGAATTCTGGGTTACTGATTGAACGTTTTTACTGTAAATAGTTTCCTGCTGAACCTTTCTTTGCCTCTTGAATCATTCACTGTACACAGTATTCATTTGTTAAGTTGCCCATAAGAACATTGCAAAGACATTACAGTGAATAAAACAATTGCAGCAGCACAGTTTGTGGACGTGAGCTCCAGTGAAGTGAAATACAGTTCTCTCTTATCTCTCACTGTAAATGAAACTAACTTTTACTAAAAAATTTAATCTGTTGTACAAAGAGAAGATTGTATATGTGATAGTGTCCATCAGACAGCAACATGTGCAGTAGACTATATTGGTGGAAGAAAAGAGTGCACATCAAAGTGTGAAGTAGTAGGCATAAAAGACTACAGGATATCTATAGGAAAACATTTCATGAAGTTTACAGGAAAGAAAATTCTGAGTTTTGTTATAAAGTAGCCCTGCTTTACTGCGTTTAACCTTATGGCATTCCCCTAGTACAGACATTTCAAATAATGACCAAAACTTGCTATATGGCTCCCCCACCTGACTTTATGATGCGGTCACCGTGCCACACCTGGTTTGCTTATGTTCTCCGTGAGCACCACGTCTCTCCATTATGTCTAGAAACTTTCCAAAATTTCAAGTGTCTAAGTTATTTCATATTTTATATATACAGTAGGGCCTCACTTATATGGCAGGTTAGGTTCCAGGCTACCGCCTTAAAGTGGAAATCGTCGAAAAGCAGAATGCCATTTTTTCCACTTATAAATGCATATAAATGCCAGACAACGAGTTTACTAACTTATATTACGTTAACAATAGAACTAGGCATTAAAAAACACAAAAAGTAAGATACACACAGAGTACCTTAAAATATTAGCATGAATGTGTGAGAGGTGAGTGGCAGTGTATTTATTGAATAAAATCAGGAGATGGCACACCATCATCCTCTGATTCTTCAGCTAAATTGTCGGCACTTGCAGCTTCACCCTGCACTTTGATGTTGTGAAGTTGACTTCTTTTCTTAAACCTATTAAACCAACCTCTGCTAGTTGCAAATTTATCTTCAGCAGCTTCCTCACCTCTCTCAGCCTTCATAGAATTAAAGAGACTTAGGGCCTTGGACTGGATAATGGCTCGGCTTAAATGCACATTGTGAAAAATCTGATCATTAGACCACACCATTAAAAGTTTTTCCACGTCAGCAATAAGGTTATCACGTTTTCTTATAACTAGTGTTCACTGGTGTGGCACTTTTAATTTCCCGCAACACTTTCTCCTTATTGTTCACAATTGTACTAACTGTTTGACGAGCCAAACCAAGCTTATGTACTATCTCAGTCATAGACATACCTTGTTCACTAAATTTAATCATTTCTAAAGTGGCACTTAAAGTAAGAGGCTTACGACTCCTCTTTTTACCACAACTAAGCTTACATGCTATCATCAATGAGAGAGAGTGAGTGTGAGTGAGTGTGAGTGAGTGTGAGTGAGTGTGAGTGAGTGTGAGTGAGTGTGAGTGAGTGTGAGTGAGTGTGAGTGTGAGTGACTGTGAGTGTGAGTGAGTGTGAGTGAGTGTGAGTGAGTGTGAGTGAGTGTGAGTGAGTGTGAGTGACTGTGAGTGAGTGTGAGTGAGTGTGAGTGAGTGTGAGTGAGTGTGAGTGTGAGTGAGAGTGTGTGTGTGTGTGTGTACTCACCTAGTTGTACTCACCTAGTTGAGGTTGCGGGGGTCGAGTCCGAGCTCCTGGCCCCGCCTCTTCACTGATCGCTACTAGGTCACTCTCCCCGAGCCGTGAGCTTTATCATACCTCTGCTTAAAGCTATGTATGGATCCTGCCTCCACTACATCGCTTCCCAAACTATTCCACTTACTGACTACTCTGTGGCTGAAGAAATACTTCCTAACATCCCTGTGATTCATCTGTGTCTTTAGCTTCCAACTGTGTCCCTTGTTACTGTGTCCAATCTCTGGAACATCCTGTCTTTGTCCACCTTGTCAATTCCCCTCAGTATTTTGTATGTCGTTATCATGTCCCCCCTATCTCTCCTGTCCTCCAGTGTCGTCAGGTTGATTTCCCTTAACCTCTCCTCGTAGGACATACCTCTTAGCTCTGGGACTAGTCTTGTTGCAAACCTTTGCACTTTCTCTAGTTTCTTTACGTGCTTGGCTAGGTGTGGGTTCCAAACTGGTGCCGCATACTCCAATATGGGCCTAACGTATACGGTGTACAGGGTCCTGAACGATTCCTTATTAAGATGTCGGAATGCTGTTCTGAGGTTTGCTAGGCGCCCATATGCTGCAGCAGTTATTTGGTTGATGTGCGCTTCAGGAGATGTGCCTGGTGTTATACTCACCCCAAGATCTTTTTCCTTGAGTGAGGTTTGTAGTCTCTGACCCCCTAGACTGTACTCCGTCTGCGGCCTTCTTTGCCCTTCCCCAATCTTCATGACTTTGCACTTGGTGGGATTGAACTCCAGGAGCCAATTGCTGGACCAGGTCTGCAGCCTGTCCAGATCCCTTTGTAGTTCTGCCTGGTCTTCGATCGAGTGTATTCTTCTCATCAACTTCACGTCATCTGCAAACAGGGACACCTCAGAGTCTATTCCTTCCGTCATGTCGTTCACAAATATCAGAAACAGCACTGGTCCTAGGACTGACCCCTGCGGGACCCCGCTGGTCACAGGTGCCCACTCTGACACCTCGCCACGTACCATGACTCGCTGCTGTCTTCCTGACAAGTATTCCCTGATCCATTGTAGTGCCTTCCCTGTTATCCCTGCTTGGTCCTCCAGTTTTTGCACCAATCTCTTGTGTGGAACTGTGTCAAACGCCTTCTTGCAGTCCAAGAAAATGCAATCTACCCACCCCTCTCTCTCTTGTCTTACTGCTGTCACCATGTCATAGAACTCCAGTAGGTTTGTGACACAGGATTTCCCGTCCCTGAAACCATGCTGGCTGCTGTTGATGAGATCATTCCTTTCTAGGTGTTCCACCACTCTTCTCCTGATAATCTTCTCCATGATTTTGCATACTATACATGTCAGTGACACTGGTCTGTAGTTTAGTGCTTCATGTCTGTCTCCTTTTTTAAAGATTGGGACTACATTTGCTGTCTTCCATGCCTCAGGCAATCTCCCTGTTTCGATAGATGTATTGAATATTGTTGTTAGGGGTACACATAGCGCCTCTGCTCCCTCTCTCAATACCCATGGGGAGATGTTATCTGGCCCCATTGCCTTTGAGGTATCTAGCTCACTCAGAAGCCTCTTCACTTCTTCCTCGGTTGTGTGCACTGTGTCCAGCACTTGGTGGTGTGCCCCACCTCTCCGTCTTTCTGGAGTCCCTTCTGTCTCCTCTGTGAACACTTCTTTGAATCTCTTGTTGAGTTCTTCACATACTTCACGGTCATTTCCTGTTGTCTCTCCTCCTTCCTTCCTTAGCCTGATTACCTGGTCCTTGACTGTTGTTTTCCTCCTGATGTGGCTGTACAACAGTTTCGGGTCAGATTTGGGTTTCGCTGCTATGTCATTTTCATATTGTCTTTGGGCCTCCCTTCTTATCTGTGCATATTCGTTTCTGGCTCTACGACTGTTCTCCTTATTCTCCTGGGTCCTTTGCCTTCTATATTTCTTCCATTCCCTAGCACACTTGGTTTTTGCCTCCTGCACCTTTGGGTAAACCATGGGCTCATCCTGGCTTTTTCATTACTCCTGTTACTCCTGTGTGTGTGTGTGTGTGTGTGTGTGTGTGTGTGTGTGTGTGTGTGTGTGTGTGAGTGTGTGTGTGTGAGTGTGTGTGTGTGAGTGTGTGAGTGTGTGAGTGTGTGTGAGTGTGTGTGTGTGGGGTGTGTGGTGTGTGTGTGTGTGTGTGTGGTGTGTGTGTGTGTGTGTGTGTGTGTGTGTGTGTGTGTGTGTAGTGTTGTGTGTGAGTGTGTGGTGTGTGTGGGGTGTGTGTGGTGTGAGGGGGTTTTGTGTGGTGTGTGTGTGAGTGTGTGTGTGTGTGTGTGTGTGTGTGTGTGTGTGTGAGTGTGTGTGTGTGTGTGTGTGTGTGTGTGTGTGAGTGTGTGTGTGTGTGTGTGTGTGTGTGTGTGAGTGTGTGTGTGTGAGTGTGTGTGTGTGAGTGTGTGTGGTGTGTGTGTGTGTGAGTGTGTGTGTGTGTGTGTGGTGTGTGTGTGTGTGTGTGTGGTGAGTGTGTGTGTGTGTGTGTGTGAGTGTGTGTGTGTGAGTGTGTGTGTGAGTGGTGTGTGTGAGTGTGTGTGTGTGTGTGTGTGTGTGTGTGTGTGTGTGTGTGTGTGAGGTGTGTGAGTGTGTGTGAGTGTGTGTGTTGTGTGAGTGTGTGTGTGTGTGTGTGTGTGTGTGTGTGTGTGTGTGTGTGTGTGTTGTGTGTGTGAGTGTGTGTGTGTGTGAGTGTGTGTGTGTGAGTGTGTGTGTGAGTGTGTGTGTGTGAGTGTGTGTGTGTGAGTGTGGGGTGAGTGTGTGTGTGTTGAGTGTGTGTGTGTGAGTGTGTGGTGTGAGTGTGTGTGTGTGAGTGTGTGTGAGTGTGTGTGTGTGAGTGTGTGTGTGTGTGTGAGTGTGTGTGTGTGTGTGTGAGTGTGTGTGAGTGTGTGTGAGTGAGTGTGAGTGAGTGTGTGTGAGTGAGTGTGTGTGAGTGTGTGAGTGAGTGTGTGTGAGTGAGTGTGTGTGAGTGAGTATGAGTGAATGTGAGTGTGAGTGAATGTGAGTGTGAGTGTGTGTTCAGACAGTGTAAAAACACAAATTGAACGGGCGGTGGGCGATCACTCAGGTGAAATAAATGCATATTAATACGTGTCCACCTTTAGTTCTTAGTTCATTCACGTACAATTGTAAGAGTTTGTGAAACTTTTACTTCACAATATTTTTTTTATTA